TGCATCTTTAGGACAAAGAAGACAGATGAATCCATATCCCCTCGAGCCCTGGGACAACCTGGACTCTTGAAGACAGCCTTTGGAAACAAACAATTGACTTCATGGCTAAGTATAAATTGGCTGCAATAACACTTTGTTATTTGAGATCCAGGGATGGAAACACTGCCTAGTTGGAGCCCATGTTGTAATAATGAGAAGCTTTGGGTCATTTATCTGCTCACGTGTGCTCCTGCACCTGAAATGGACTGTGGAGACCCCTGGACCGCTTACTGATCGTGCCTCTACATCCAAATGCCTCCTTCGTATCCCCACTTGCAAGTTGATTAATCATCTCAAAGTGAACATGTCTAAAATCAACCTGGTCTCTGCTACTCCCAAAGTTCTCTTCACGTGGCCTTCCTTGTCTCAGTAAATAATAACTGCATCCCTCCCTTGGCTCATGCTCAAACCTTGGAATCAGTATGGACTCCTTTTTCTCTGTTCTCACAGACCACAGAAGAAATCCAGAATCGAGTCATGTTCTCAAGACACCTGAGCTACCTTTCTCGCTCACCTGGGAGGTTCAGTATCTTCGTAACTAATCTCACAGCCTCAACACTTGCTTCTGTCCACTCATGCCCCGCTCCCCCACCATTATCTATTCTCTGCCCAGCAGCCAAAATGATCCATTTTAAATATGACTGATCATACTCATTTCCTGTGTAAAACTCTCTGATTGCTCTCATCTCACTCAGATAACCTCCAAAGTCCTCACTCTGGCCTCAAGGCCCTGTGTGATCTGGCTCTATTACTCCCCAGCTTCTTCTTCTGGGCTCCTTCCCCCCCTCACCAACTTTATCCTGGCAACCCTGGCCTCCTTGCTGTTCCTGAAGCATGCCAGGCACAGCTGACCTCAGGACATTTGTTCCTGCTGTTCCTTGTTTCTGGAGCACGCTTCCCCAGTATTCACATGGTTCACTCCCTCTCTCACTGGCACCTTCTCAGTAGGAACTTGCCTTACATCTGATGTCCAATTCAGCCCCTGGCCCCAATCTCCTCATCACCTACACTCCTTCCAACCTCAAGGCTTTATTTTTCTCTATAAGACATATTCACCTGACATGCTGCAGCACAAAGCAAAATGGTTAACAGCATGAACTCTGGAGATAGACCAAGTGCGGCACAGCTTGATTTCATTATAGAGTAGCTGGGTAGCCTTGGGAAAATTGGTTATCCTGTGCCTCGATTTCCTCATCTGTAAAATGGAGATACTCATAGTACCGACGTCAAAGTGAACTAATATGCGTATAGTGTTATACAAGTGTTGGCTATTCTTCTTATTATAATTATTAATTATTTGTGTTGTCCATCTCTACTCAAGAGAGTGTAAAATGCCATGAGGGCAGGAAGTTTTGCCTCTTTTGTTCACTGCTGTATTCTTCATGTCCAAAATAATGCCTGGCATATAGTAGGTGCCCAATTAATATGTGTAGAATAAATGAATGAATGATAAAATATATAAAGCAGGCAGTTCATTATCTGTTACCTTGCAAATAAAAGTCTATTTTTATGATGTGTTTTTCTATGATGTGTTTTTTTGTATTTTAAAAAACTCCAGGTGTAATAGAGTAGGACATCCTAATTGAAATTCAAAACAATTCAGCAGAATAAACAATAAAAATAATGAAAATCCTTTTCACATCATCCTCCTCCTTTCCCCAGAGGTACCTCCAGTGAAGTTTGCTTTGTATCATTACTGAGACTTTTTGTCTAATTGTATATATGTGTTGCACATAAATATATAGTTTTATTTCATTTCAGGCTTAAAGAAAATGGCAAACTGCAGGTATGTGTAGTCTTTATGCAGTCAAATATATCAGTCGTTTCCTTCATGGCATTGGGGGTTTTGTGTCTATGTAAGATCTTTATAGCCTCATATTCTTATTTTTTAAGATTTTTTTCCCTTCAGAGCTTTTAGAATTTTCCTCTTTATCCCTGAAGTTTAGAAATTTACCAATAGAGGCCTAACTATAATTTTAAAATTATCATGCTTAGTAGGTTTTTTCAATCTCAAGATGCATGCCTTTCTTCAGTTACAGATAAACACTCCATTCACATTCTTTGATTATTTCTTCCTTTCCATTTTCTCTGATGCTTCTTTCTGGAATATCAGACCAATGTTACATCTACTGCAAGTATCCTGCAACATTTCTCTTGTATTTTCCATCTGGTTGCGTCTTTTAGCTCTTTGTTTTGGCTACAGAGACTCTGGTAAAGAAAGGAAGACTTTTAAGTAAAAACATTTCCTGGTTTTCAGTGTGGTTTATCTGCTCACATATAATGTCTTCTGTGGGGTGAGTGTTATTTAAGAAAATAGTCATCTTTCTCTCCCAGGAAGACTTTATGTCTGCTGGGGCCTCTTAGCCCTTGAAACTTCCATAAGAAGACCTTGAATCTTCCATAAGCCCTTGAAACCCCAATCCCTGGCCTCCTGAGTCCCAAGATGTCTATGAGTTCCAGGGTGTGCTCATGCTCTGATGACCTCCTTGGTCTAGGGTCACTGTTTGTTGCCTGAAATATTGTTCTTCCATGTGCATGTCCAGCTGAGAAACTCAGTCCTTGCTTCAGTTTAAAAGTTACCTTCACACGAAATTGTAAGACGTCACTAAAGAGTTGGGGGAGATTGCCGGATGGATGATACAGCAAACAAAGCAAACTTTCACACCCTAATCTCTTTTCTTGACAGCCCATTCCAGACACTCAGCCATCTAGGGCTACTTGGTTACCCACCCTTCCTGCAGCTTCACTGACTTCTCAGTCCCCTTTCTCTCCAAATTTTCCCCCTCTGTATAAGGGTCACTCAGCCATCTTCACCTTCAGCTCCTGCTCCTAAACAAGTGTAACAAGTGCTTCCACATCCAGGGCAGACAAAAAGCTTCCCCCAATAGGGTCTCTTCTCTTTATCAGGCAGTTTGTGTTACAAATGACAGTATTTTGTTCTGTTTTGCATGACTAGAAGTGATGCTCAGTGATTCTAACTGAATGATTTTAGCATTTAATAGATGAAAGAGACCTTAACATTTTCTAGCAGCTGTAATATAATTAATTACCTTTCTAAGTTCTATGTTTGTTACCTTATAACTTCCTACCAAGTACATTTTTCACCTATCAGAGAACCCATCCATGCATAGCTGACACACCTAGACAGTGTTCACTGTTTATATTCCACTGAAAATCTGGCTTCCTCTTGCTTCTAGTTTCTTTCCCAGATGAGTTACAATCAACAATATGTGGCGATCGATCAGTGATGGAGAGCAAGTTCGTGGGAAGTGATGAAGAAATGCTGAGGTTCTCTGGTTGACTGGAAAGCTGGTACATCTGTTAGGAATTTGGCTACAAGTAATGGAAGATTTAAAAAGTAGAGGCCTGTCTGTCTCATATAACAGGAAGTCTAGAGGTGGACAGCCCAGACCAGTTCAGCATATTGAGACATCGTCATTGACTGAGTGTCCTTTATATGCTATTCCCTCCTTACTGTGTGGCCTACTAGAGCCACAATCACAAAATGGCTGCAGCAGCTCCAGCAATCACCTGCTTATTCATCATTGGCCAGAAATGTTTGCATGACCCTCCTAGCAGTGAGAGAGCCTAGGAGATTCAGTTTTTAGCTTTCATAGCTTCCATCATAGAGGCAAGAAAAGGAGAGGAGGTTATAAATAGAATCTGGATGAGCTAAGCCACAGGGTCTGCCACATATTGTAATGGCTTCTAGGGACACATGAGGAAGCATGTGTTCTATTGAGGAAGGAAGATTTGGTTTGGGGCATACTGAATTTGAGCTGCTGGCAAGGTTATCCCAAAAGACGGGTGGTCGGGTCTGCTCCAGCTTGACCCCTTTTACAATTCCTTCATAATAAAAAAGTGGTATAGCTGGAAACCCTTGAGTTGGGGCACCTGGGTGGCTCAGTCAGTTAAGCGTCTGCCTTAGGCTTAGGTCATGATCCCAGGGTCCTGGGATCGAGTCCCGCATCAGGCTCCCTGCTTAGCAGGGAGCCTGCTTCTTCTCCCTCTGCCTGCCGCTCTGCCTGCTGTGCTCTCTTTCTCTGTGTCAAATAAATAAATAAAAAATCTTAAAAAAAAAAGAAACCGTTGAGTTGTGGCTCCCTATTTATAAACAGCACACAGGACACAGCCAGGAAATGAAGAAAGAAGTCAAGACACAGTTCAGGCTGACCAGCTTGTTTCATGTCCTTGGCCTTCATAATTGGTCAAGGTCACACATGACACATGACCCAAAGTGGACCAGTGAAACTCATTGCTAGGACTTTGGTGGGGACTGTTGGTAAAAAGAAACTTATTTTCCACTTGCACCATTGATAGTTGGAGCTGCAGATGGCTACTTGGCTAATCTATGGCAAGATGGTGTTAAAATGGTGCTGTAGAGATGGCCCTGCATCCACCATGTGGCCAATGGACCAGACAAGATGGTGCATGGAACAAGAAGGCAGCTTCTACCAGATACAAGTAATCACAGTGAGACTGGGCTGTGAGTCTCCATGGTCTAAAAGCTTTCCTAAAGCAGTGGTGTTAAAATAACAAGAATGAGTATGATTTCATTAGGAATTTTATAATCTCTTACAAATGTTTGACCATTTCTACAGAAGGCCGACTCCATTCAAGATTTGGGAAAAATAATACACAACAGTATATATTGTGGCATTGTTTTTAACAGTAAAACTTGGCAAAATGTGAATATCCAACAGCAGCATTCAAAATGTGAATATCCAATTCACATGTAAAGTGGATGGATGAATTATGGCGTGTCTGTGCATAGGCATGTTAGGTAGCCTTTAAAAATTATGTGCCAAACAATTTTTAGTGATAATGGAAAATGCTCATGATATAATGTTGATACAAAATTATATAAACAGTATAATTCTAATGTTATTTTTTTCTAAAAAGCCTTAATTTGCAGATATAAGAGATCAGAATGAAATACATCCATATATAATAATGTTTTCTCTGGATGAGGAGACTATGAATAATTTTAATTTTCTTCTTTATCTTCCCTGTATTTTCCAGTGAGTTCCTACTTTCATGATCATTATTGTTTGTTTAAAGATAAGGGGAAAAAAGCACAACCTCTGGTCATTATTTCAAATTTATCCCAACAGTTCAGCTGTCCTTCCCTAGTCACAGCACATGGGACTTTCCACTGTGAGTCAGAGTAGAATCTATTCCCAGATTCGTCTTCATTGCTGGGCTGTAGACTCCTTGACCTCTTTCCTGACCCCATGCTGACCTGTTTAGTACACACTTGAAATCTGAGCCATAGTTGCCGAGTTGAATTGTGCAGCCCAAGTCTAGTGTTAAGTCTGTAGCAGGAAGAGAAATAAAGAGACAAGAAAGAAGCTGAGAAGTGATCCTACAGAAAATGATCTCCAGGCAGGTGTGACAGTATTTTGCTTTCTCTCTGTGCCTCACTTTAATCATCTGTGAAGTGGGAATAACAGCAGTGCCCTCTTTATGGCGTTGATATGAAGATTTCATGAGTGAGTGGAGGTGAGGTCCTTGTCAAGGGTGCTGGGCACCTAGGAAGAGCTATACAAGCATTTGTTCTTCCTGTTATATGTTCCTGCTCAAATGTGGGCTCCTCCCAAACGCCTGTCAGTTCCATGGTGGGAACTGCCTTCATACCTGTGTACCTGAGGCTGTGCCTGGTCCCCCTCTCATATGTCAGCTCATTTGCAAACTTCTTTACCCTCTGGGATCACAAACCCTGTGTAGGCGGGGATTTCTTTAACTTTATATTCCCTTCCCTACATTGCACCTGGCAGATAATAAATAAAACATATTTAATTAACTTTAAAATAATGTGTTTCCTTCTCCTTCCAGGTGCCCTAATTTTTCTTTTTAAATCATAACGTCCCTTAAACCCCAGTGTAAACATACTCTGCTCTTTATTGAGCCAATTCCCAGAGAAAGGCACACTTATCTTCCTGACTAAGGGGCAGGACTTTGGGAACGGCATAGGAGGTCAGTGGTCCAAGGCACCCGTTGGGCCATGCTAGGCACATGCTGGACCCAGACCTCCAGCTGGGATGCTCTCACTGCTCCCCCCACCCCGGAAGCTTATCTTCAATGTAGAGAGGAAGGGGTACAATTCTTATTTCCTATTTCCAGCCACCTGAGGGTAGATTAACCATGTATGCATGCACTCAACACATGCTCTTGTGAATGAATATTTATTAATCACAAAATTCTTTCATAGCCCCAGGCTGCTCAGTTACCCTCACCCCAGTTTCCTGGCAGGTTTGTAGGGAATGGAAGCCAATTTTTAAAATTATTCATAGCTCTAGGGTTCTATTCGAGGTTACTTTCAGAGTAATAGTAGGGGGAGACTTACATGCTGCATTCTAGAGCTGGAATCAGGAGCTCTCTTGTACCCATGCTTGACCCTACTTCATATAGATCATCATTCAGGAGGTGTTCATGAAGCACAGAGTCAGCCCCCAATTCAAATTCTGTCTGTCTGAGTTAGTTGTCGGGTTATATCAGGCAACCCCATTCATTTGCTCAGTCTGAATGCTGTCCTCCAGCCTAAGGAGAAGTCAATCTGTTGTGACCTGCTTTCTCCCCTCTTGGAGCAAGGTGAGAATTCACATGTAAATGATCCCTAGCATTTTTCAGACATAAATGTGAATTGGCAATAACCATTTGCTGTGTTGATTTAGGAGCTTCTGGAGAAAGTTTCCTGTTTAATCTGCAAGTAAAGGTTCCACCTTTGATTGTGAGGCTGCTCATCATTTCATAATGGCATTGGAGCATATGTCTTGCTGGCACATGACTCACGGGCTGAGTTGCCTGCCACCGGATGTCACAAATAATACTGCTATTCAAAAGAGGAGGGATGCTATCGGCAGGGCTCAGAAGTGATTTTTAAAATTAAAAATCTTATTTATATGTCCCCCAGAATATTCCAAGCCCTTCCAGGAGGACAATGCTCTTTGTTTAGCTGCTGAGGCGGAGAAAACAAAAACCACATTATGTGTAATATCCCTGAAGCTAAATTACAATATTTACCTCCACATGTTAACTTGACGTTCATAATTATCTGTGCTTAGAACAGAAAATGGAAGAAAAGGTTCAGTGAACACCCACCTGGGTGTTGTGAATGATGTTGTTCCAACACAAACAAAAGTTAGTAGGAGGATTTAGAGAGGAGGGAGGAAGCATGGTGCTTGAACATTCTTAGCTGAGACTTCAGGAGAATTGTTTGGAGCATAAGGATCTCTCCTGTCTATCCCATCGGAGATGACTTGTGTCATTATTTCCCCCCTCCAAACCGGCAATGGTGTCCTGAATGCTCCTCTATCAAAGATCAGAAGAAAATAGCTCTGATGCAATGAGGCAAGCTCAGAGAGTATCCAGAATCTTTTGGCGAAGAATTAAGGCTAATTCAACAGACACATGAAAAAGTGCTCAACATTGCTTGGCATCAGGGAAATCCAAATCAAAACCTCAGTGAAATACCACCTCACACCCATCAGAATGGCTAAAATTAACAAGTCAGGAAATAACAGATGTTGGAGAGGATGCGGAGAAAGGGGAACCCTCCTACACTGTTGGTGGGAATGCAAGCTGGTGCAGCCACTCTGGAAAATAGTATGGAGGTTCCTCAAAAAGTTGAAAATAAAGCTACCCTAACAACCCAGCAATTTCACTACTGGGTATTTACCCCAAAGATACAAATCTACGGATCCGAAGAGGTATGTGCACCCCAATGTCTATAGCAGCAATGTCCACAACAGCCAAACTATGGAAAGAGCCAAGATGTCCATGACAGATGAATGGATAAAGAAGATGTGGTGTATATATATACAATGGAATATTATGCAGCCATCAAAAAATGAAATCTTGCCATTTGTAACGATGTGGATTAGAGGGTATTATGCTAAGGGAAATAAGTCAATCAGAGAAAGACATGTGTCATATGATCTCACCGATATGAGGAATTCTTAATCTCAGGAAACAAACTGAGGGTTGCTGGAGTGGTGGGGGATGGGAGCGATGGGGTGACTGGATGATAGACACTGGGGAGGGTATGTGCTATGGTGAGTGCTGTGAATTGTGTAAGACTGATGAGTCACAGACCTGTACCTTTGAAACAAATAATACATTATATGTTAAAAAAAAAAAGAAGAAGAAGATAGTAGGAAGGAAGAAATGAAGGGGGTTGCTATCTGAGGGAGAGATGAACCATGAGAGACTATGGAATCTGAGAAACAAACTGAGGGTTCCGGGGGGGGGGATGGGTTAGCCTGGTGATGGGTATTAAAGAGGGCACGTATTGAATAGAGCACTGGGTGTTACATGCACACAATGAATCATGGAACACTACAACAAAAACTAAAAAACAAAAAAACAAAAAAAACTAATGATGTAATGTATGGTGATTAACATAACATAATAAAAATTTAAAAAGCCTGTTCTATAAATAAAAAAAAGAATTGAGGCTAATTCTGTGGAAGGCTCCACTGTGGCCTTTGTGACCAGCTCTGGTTGGGTTGGGCGGCCAGGGCCCATGGTAACACATGATGTACTGCTGCACTCACACCCCGTCTCATCCTGGTAAAGTTCACTGCCAGCAGCCAGCACCTGCGCCTCTCCCATGGTAGACTGTCCTGCCCCATGTCAAAGGCACATGGGAACACACAAGTGCCTGGGAATTTAACTCCAGCAGTGGTGGTCCTTGACCAACAACTGATTGGTGTGCAGGTGTAGATTCTCTGGTGCTCTTGTCTTGCCCTCCCTCACCCACAATTTGGACAACTCTGTTGCATTTCTTGAGCTCCCCTGCAGGAGTGAGCCAAAATCCCCCCATGGCACTTTGCTGGATGTTGCACACTGGTCCCATCTTCCCATTCCCTTATCAGTTTCCCAAAATTGTTTTTAGCAAATCACTTTCACAAGAACCAATGGACCATTGCATGAGAAGCATTCCCATGTGCAAGAACATGAGACTCAACTGTTTGGGCCATATATGGTTGGAGCAAGGAAGAGAGTCTGATCCAAAGCAGCCAGTCCATAGAATGAGTGAAGAGGTCTGCCTAATGGTACTAGTCCTTCATGTCAAATGGTTACCCCAATCATATCCATGCTTATTCAATTCAAATGGGAGATGTACAATTAGTTGGTAACTCTAGGAAAAGCCCAAGAAGCAATGGCAAGGAGTTGTCTCACCAAAATGGTGAAGCGTTAGATTAGTGACCCAAGGAGTCATGGGACAGCATTATATTGTTTGAACTTGTTTTACCCTGAATGGCCTCAATCCTGCATGTCCTTCTAGTCTTCTGAGGCCCAGCTATGGGGAGATTGAAACTATTTTCTGTCTTCTTTACTTGCTTGTACATTTTTTCATACCCTTTCATCTCCTACCCTACCCCCCCCGACCAACATGACCATGTTCCTGAAAAAGCTTAGTTAAGTACAAACAAGGATATGAAAGAAAATCCCCACAATTCTAGGACATAGAAATAGTACATTTTAAACTTTTTATAATTATGTGTATATATTTTAAACTTTTATAATTATGTGTATATATCTTACAAAATTAGGGTTATTATATTCCAGAGAATTTTCTGATGCCCTGAAATATTCTTTAAGTACATGTCTGCCATATTACATAATATTGCAAAGCAGGATAAATCATAACTTACTAAACCAATCTTCTTTTGGACACTTATGTTGCTTCCTGATATTTACTAGTATAAATATTGCTGTGATGTCATACTTACACATGAACCTTAATGCTCATCTCTGAGTGACAGACTTACAGGCTCAGTAATTATGAATTTTTATAAGCCTTCATATGGCCTAGTCCATGATTCCCACAACAGGCTGCAAATTGGGGTCCCCTGGAGGCCTTCAGAAAGTGCAGAAGCTGGACCCCACCCTCATAGTTCATGATTTGAGTATTCTGGGGGGTGATCAAGGCTAGAAATTTTAAGATTTTTAAGGAGATTCTCAGGTAATGCTAAGAAGTGGGACTCACTGTGCTACATTGTTTTGAGGGCTGCTTTTAGCTTTAGGAGAGGAGAGGTTTTAAATAGTAGAACAACAGTGGTGACAGTGGGCATCCCTATCGTCTTCTTGACCTTAGGGGAAAGCTCTCAGTTCTTCCCCATTGACAATGATATTCACTGTAGGCTTTTTGTATATGGCTTTTATGATATTGAGGTATGTTCCCACTATCCCTACACTGTGGAGAGTTTTTATCAAGAAAGAATGTATTTTGTCAAATGCTTTTTCTGCATCAATTGAGAGGATCATTTGGTTCTTGTCCTTTCTTTTATTAATGTGATGTATCACATTGATTGATTTGCAAATGTTGAACCGCCCTTGCAGCCCAGGAATAAATCTCACTTGGTCGTGGTGAATAATCCTTTTAATGTACTGTTAGAGCCTATTGGCTAGAATCTTGGTGAGGATTTTGGCATCCATGTTCATCAGGGATATTGGATATTGGTCTGTAAATCTCCTTTTTGATGGGTTCTTTGGTTTTGGGATCAAGATAATGCTGGCCTCATAAATGAGTTTGGAAATTTTCCTTCCATTTCTACTTTTTTGGAATAGTTTCAGAAGAATAGGTATTAATTCTTCTTTAAATGTTTTGTAGAATTCCTCTGGGAAGCCATCTGGCCCTGGACTCTTATTTGCTGGGAGATTTTTGATTACTGCCTCAATTTCCTTTTTGGTTATGGGTCTGTTCAGGTTTTCTATTTCTTCCTGTTTCAGTTTTGGTAATTTGTAAATTTCCAGGAATGCGTCCATTTCTTCCAGATTACCTAATTTGTTGGCATATACTTGCTCATAATATGTTCCTAAAATTGTTTGTATATCCTTGGTGTTGGTTGTGATCTCTCCCCAAATAGCCAGAGGAATGTTGAAAAAGAAAACCAAAGCTGGTGGCAACACAATCCCGGACTTCAAGCTTTATTACAAAGCCCTAATCATCAAGATAGTATGATACTGGCACAAAAACAGACCCATAGATCAATGGAACAGAATAGAGAACCCAGAACTAGACCCTCAACTCTATGGTCAACTAATCTTCCACAAAGTAGGAAAGAATATCCAATGGAAAAAAGGAAAGTGTCTTCAAAAATGGTGCTGGGAAAATTGGATAGCCACATGCAGAAGAATGAAACTAGACCTTTTATTACACCATACACAAAGATAAACTCAAAATGGATGAAAGACCTCAATGTGAGATAGGAATCCATCAAAATCCTAGAGGAGAACACAGGCAGCAACCTCTTCAACCTCAGCCACAACTTTTTGCTAGACACGTCTCCAAAGGCAAGGGAAACAAAAGCAAAAATGAACAGTTGGAACCTCATGATAAAAAGCTTCTGCACAGCAAAGGAAACAGTCAACAAAACTAAAAGACAACCTAGGGAATGGGAGAAGGTATTTGGAAATGACATATCAGATAAAGGGCTGGTATCCAAGATCTATAAAGAACTTAACAAACTCAACACCCAAAATCAGAGAATCCAGTCAAGAAATGGGTAGAAAACATGAACAGACATTTCTTCAAAGAAGACACACAAATGGCCAACAGACACATGAAAAAATACTCCATATCACTTGGCATCAGGGAAATACAAATCAAAACCACAGTGAGATACCCCCTCACACCAGTCAGAATGGCTAAAATTAGCAAGACAGGAAACAACAAATGTTGGCAAGGATATGGAGAAAGGGGAACCCTCTTACACTGTGGGAATGCAGGATGGTACAACCACTCTGGAAAATGATATGGAGATTCCTCAAGAAGTTAAAAATAGAGCTACCCTTCAACCCAGCAATTGCACTACCGGGTAGTTACCCCAAAGATACAAATGTAGTGACCTAAAGGGGCACCAGCACCCCAATGTTCATAGAAGCCATGTCCACAATGGCCAAACTGTAGAAAGAGCTGAGATGTCCATTGACAGATGAATGGATAAAGAAGATGTAGTGTACATATATACAATGGAATATTACTCAGCCATCAGAGAGGTTGAATACTTACAATTTACATTGACTTGGATGGAACTGGAGGGTATTATGCTGAGCAAAATAAGTCAATCAGAGAAAGACAATCATATGTTTTCACTCATATGTGGAATATAAGAAACAGTGCAGAGGACCATTGGGGAAGGGAGAGAAAGCTGAATGGGAAGTCATCAGAGAGGGAGAAAAACCATAAGAGACTCTTAACTATAGGAAACAAACTTTGGGTTGCTGGAGGGTGGTGGGTGGGGGGTGGGGTAATAGGGTGATGGGCATTAAGGAAGGCATGTGATGTGATGAGCACTGATGTGATATGCAACTGATAAATTATTGAACACTACATCTGAAACTAATGTACTATAAGTTGGCTAATTGAATTTAAATAAAAAACATAAATAAATAGTAAAGGAGGCCTGTTGTGAGTAAGGAAGGAGAGTCACCGAAGTTGGGAACATTTCCTTTGTTTTATACTCAGACTTCTCGGCCAAGACTGATGGCTCGCTTGATGGTGCCAAATGCCAGGGAACACCCAGACACTGACTTCCTGCTTTACATGGTACCCTCCCCCCACCCACCTGAGTGCTGTCCACCCATTCTCCCCACCTCCCTGCTTATCCTGCTGAAGAGCCAATGGCAGCTCCGTGGAAGTTGATCTTGCCTTCCAAAGACCCTAGAGGAGCCAGCAGTAGGTTGTTGTAGGTCATTGTAAGGCTTGCCTCTTGCACCGGCTGTGGTCCCCTTTGTCGATACTCAGTCCCCACAGCTTCCCATAAGGAAAGGGAATGACTTCCTATGGGCTGGATATCCCACTTACCCTCTCTCTAGGTCCCGAACTTTCCCATGGCTTTAAAACTTGCAGCCAGCTCTGATGCTGAGGCAATTCTGGAGACATGCCTTCACAGCCCACAATCAGATCTGCTTCTTCACCCTCATGCCTGGTGCTGCATGTGGATGCCTGGAGGAGCTGGTGACTGACTGGATGTCTTTCTCTCTCCATGCAGCTAGGCTGGGCTTCCACACAGCACCATGTTCTCAGGGTAGTCAGAATTTTACCATCTTGGCTGGCTTCCTCCACAACGTGTGTCCTAAGAAACCCAAGTGGAAGATGTGAGACTTTTCATAACCTAGGCTTAGAATCTGCAGAGTGTCACTTCCACCACAGTCTATTGGTCAAAATGTGAGTCACAGGGCCAGCCCAGATTTAAGGGCTGGGAACTACATGAGTTTATGAATACCATGAAATGGTGTTCACTGGGGAGCCCTCTTTGGAGGTGACTTACCACAGCAACCTCACAGGATTGAGTGGGGTTATTAGAGGTGTCAGGAGAAGGCCGCGCTCCCTACAGGTGATATTCTTATCATTCTCCTTTTGTCTTTCTTCCTGTTCACTGGACTAATGTTTTTCCAGCAAATTCTCTTACACACACATTTCAGCCAGAAACTGGTAGTAGGAGTGAGTTTTAAGCAGAAAGCAAGAGTGACCTCACCCAAAAGTCAAGGGAAGAACCTCCTTTGGCTCTGAAATCCAGTGCTTCTTTTGCAGTACCATGTCCTCCCCAAACCTAACCCACTGGCTCCCTGATGTCTTATGTGTGAAGGCCGAAGTTTCTGAGACTTGACATACCCAAGAGCACAGAAATACCAGGGGCCTTCCACCAGACTACCCTATGAGCTCACAAAGCTTCTGAAAAAACAGTATCCAAGGGAAGTTGCCGTGGTGGAATCCAATGACCTCTTTATTAATGGCGGTTGAGGCAAAACTGTGATTTCTGAATTATCCCACAGGGTACACGGGAGATGAGTTCTTCAGTGGGAGTGCAAAACTCTTTTTCAGGAGCACAAAAATAATTTATAATTTAATCACCACTGCCCACTATCTCTATCCATTCCCAATAAGAGTCACTTAAACCTTCTGTGTACGTCCAGTCTCTTCAATAGAGCCAGAGACCAGACCTGGTTATATTTCAAACTTCTCAGAGTAAGAATCCCATTGAGTGTGGTGCTTCCTGTCAGAGAGGTCACTGTTGACCTTGAGTGGGCATCTGGTTGAGACCACTCCATTGGACAGCTCCAGCGAGCCATCTTGAGTCCTGAAGAGCTCAAACCTCAGGTCACCACCTGCTAACTTGGTCCCTAAACCTGAGCCTTGGAGATATTGCCATGTAATTCTAATTCAAATTTTAATCATTCATCCAGATTTTTAAGTCACAGTGCCAAGCACATGGTTGGGGTGACACACAGCAGGTACTCAAAGAATACTTGCTGAATCACTGAGTGAATGAATGAAGTCCAGAGATAAAAAGTGACTTGTGTAAGTTCACACGATGAAATAGCAAAGTTGTTTCCTTCTCCCTCTCGCTGTCCCTTGGAAGTACTTAGTTTAAAGTTGATACGATTCTCGTGGTGCTGATCTCTCTCTTCCCAACATTCTAAGTATCTGTGCACGCCCCTTACCTTTCCTGTCAGGCAATAAGCTCCTCAAGGGCAGATGTTTTCTATACACTCCTCCATATCACTTAGGGAGTCAAGCTGAGCATCTTGCCTACAGTAAGAGGTCAACAATGTGTGTTCCCTCTGATGCTGTAAGTGTATAGAGCTTTTTGTGGCTTCCCTCATTGTGTTGCTGTAAGTTTTTTTGGTTACTTTTTGTTCTTGTTGATACCTTCTAATTTGTGGCTTCAAAACTGCCAAAGGTAAGAAATCAAAAACCAAATTAGGTATGTGTGTGTGCGCACAGACACACATGCGCGCGCACACACACACACACACACACACAGTCAATTCTTGTTATTTGTGGTGTTGGTTATGTTCTATAAAGTCGCCATGAGCACTGAATTGGCCACTACTAAACCATTGCTCTTGGAGGAAATACAGAGTTAGATGCTTGCCAACCTTCAGTCACAACACAGACAATCCAGAGTCAGAGGCAGATAGTCTGAGTTCTAACAATGTGGTCCAAACCTGATCTACCCCTTGACATTTTAACTTCGTAAGCCAGCAAATAAGTCAGTATGAGTCACCTTTTTTGTCATTTCCATGTGAAAGAGTCCTGATTAATTTACCCACTTAATAAAAAAATGCCTTTTTATTATATTCTAGAAATGAGATACAACCGATGTTGCTTTATTGCCAATGATAGAAAGCTCTCTACCTAATGAAGCATTTTATAAATAGCCCTTATGCAGTCAACCTCCCTGACACACAGGCATACAGAAACATTTATTGTGCTCCAACTGTGTACAAGGCACTGGAGTATGCTTTGGAGATTACAAAATGAATACAAAAAGCCTAAACCTTCAAAAACTTCGTGGTTTAAACTCTTAAACACCTAAAATTTTTTCTTTTAATTAATGAGGGAAAGATAATTTTATTCTTATTGCTTATTTCACTTAGCTATTGCTATAATAGTGCCACATAGAAAAAACAACCACAGAGTCTTGACATAGAGTAGCAACCAGCGCATGAGCTGGGGTGGCTTGGAGAACCCCAGCTGGGCTCACTCTTAGGTCTGAGGTTGACTGGGGTTTGACTGATCTAGACTGGGTGTCACTGGGAAGCTCTATTTCCTGAAGGTAGACTGGGATGTTTCAGCATCAAGCTACAAGGGCTGGGGCCGGGAGTATGTGGGAAATATTCCACCCATTTCTCATGCTCCTTCGACCAGTGGTCTAGCCAGGCATGTTCTTCTCATGGTGATAGCTGAGGCCTTCTAAGTCATAGACTCACTTTCACCTTGTTCTGTTGGCTGAAGCAAGTCACATGGACAAGCCTAAAGTCAAGGGGGGGCAGGGAAATAATCTGCTCTTTCAGTGGGAGAGATTGAAAAGATCTATAACAAAGGACATGGATATAGAGGGGTGAAGAATTGGAGCCAATAATGCCATCTACTATACTCATTTTTTTATTGTTACGTTAATCACCATACATTACATCATTAGTTTTTGATGTAGTGTTCCATGATTCATTGTTTGTGCATAACACCCAGTGCTCCACGCAGTATGTGCCCTCTTTAATACCCATCACCAGGCTAATCCATCCCCCCACCCCTCTCCCCTCTAGAATCCTCAGTTTGTTTTTCAGAGTCCATCGTCTGTCATGGTTCGTCTCCCCCTCTGATTTACCCCCCTTCATCCTTCCTTTTCTTCTATTTTCTTCTTTTTTTTTTTCTTAACATATATTGCATTATTTGTTTCAGAGGTACAGATCTGTGATTCATCAGTCTTGCACAATTCACAGCACTCACCGTAGCACATACCCTCCCCAATGTCTATCCCCCAGCCACCCCATCCTTCCCACCCCACCCCCACTCCAGCAACCCTGTTTGTTTCCTGAGATTAAGAATTCCTCATATCAGTAAGGTCATATGATACATGTCTTTCTCTGATTGACTTATTTCACTCATCATAACACCCTCCAGTTCCATCCACGTTGTTGCAAATGGCAAGATCTCATTCCTTTTGATGGCTGCATAATATTCCATTGTATATACCACATCTTCTTTATCCATTCATCTGTCGATGGACATCTTGGCTCTTTCCACAGTTTGGCTATCGTGGACATTGCTGCTATAAACATCGGGGTGCATGTACCCCTTCGGATCCCTGCATTTGTATCTTTGGGGTAAATACCCGGTTCTACTATACTCATTTATTGATCTTAGATCTGCCTCCTAGAAATCCACTTGAGTTTAACAAAAGGGAGAATTGCTCACTTAAAGTGGCTTCCTGGTCTGCTATGGGGTTGCTCCTCAGATGAGCTTAGAGATCTTGCTAGGGCTCTCTCCTTTCTGGGCCTCACTGTCCTAGAATGGGGAGCATGGCAGGAGCCATCTGTCTTTGAAAGGGCCCAGAAAGATGTCACTAGTGCCTTCATAATGTACTGTTATCATGAGCTCCCTGGAGGTGGGGCTCTGCATCACTCCAAGCCGCATTCCGTAAATGGCTAAGTTCCAGAGAAGCCAATATTAATGGCAATGCATTACGTATGAAGTTATCTTGAATTTGTGGACTTCTTTCCAAAACCACCCTGAAAAACTGCATCAGGCTAGTTTTGCTCATTTCTTTGGTAGGACTGTCATCTGGTAATAGGATTAGACAGGCTACATTATTGCCTTTAATGTCTTGCTAGAGAGAGATTGATTTTCTTGAAGTGAAGTACAAGGCATCCTTTCTATTAAGCAAATTAAACTGCTTAGGTCAGAAAGGCTATAAGAAGGAGCAGTGGTGTGCTGATAAACCAGCTTTCTGGATGAAAAAGCCCTGATTTGTAGTATTTGTCAATTTCTGTGGCATAAACACTCCCCCGATGGCTGCTTTCAAGCTGCTTTCAAGCTGCTTTCAAGCTGCCAGCACGGTGATGTCCCTGGATACAGCCTTGAGAAGAGATGCGCCTGAATGGGTCTGCTCTGCTACCCCAATACCTGCATGGCTGTGCTGTGGAGATGTAAAAATGGGTTCATTTCCCAGGTGTTCCTTGAGGGAGAGGACGTGGGATTTGTGTCCTGTGTGTCTAACTTTTGTAGAAGTTAAAGTCAGCACTAAATCGATCAGGATGAATCCAGAGTGCTGACAAAAGGGCTTTGCTGGAATGGGGCTATAGAAAGTAATAGTAACACTGGCTACATTTTTTTCCTGGTGCCTACACACCTAGCACTTTTCTCAATCAGCGTGATTACACCACAACTCTGTGGAGAATCTGAAGCACAGATAGTTCAGTGGCATGCCCCAGGCCACACTAATTAAGTAGAAACAGATTTGAACCCAGAGTCCTTGTTTGGTCCTGAATCTCTCCTGACACTCTCTCGGGACCCAGGGAGCTTCAGGATGGGACTGTGAGCTCCTGCTTACCTTCACATGGACTGCTCCCTTCATCCAGGTGCCCTTGTCCTTTTTCTCCATTTAGCAAATGAATACTTCCCCTGTAAAACTGTGTGTCTGCCTGCCTGTTCTATGACTCATACTTGAAGCCCAATACCAGGCTGCATCCAGTGATGTGCAAACCGGCCTTACATTAGCTAGCTCACAAGAGCCATTTGGTAAATTATCAGGCATTCCGCAGACCATTATTAAAACTCAAATTATATAAACTTACAATGAAATGTACTATGTTAAAAATAAAGGGAACAAATACTGGTCTCTCATCATTTGCTAATTGTTTTACTATAACCTGTGCTCTTAGGGTTACTTATGTCTCTACTCTCCACATAGTAGAAAAGTCCATCTCATGGTGACTACTGTGCCTCTCTTCCTGACTCCATGTTGAGTGACATCACATTGGTATATTGAAATCTTTTACGGTGGGAATATTTATACAATGGAAATGAACAAATGCTGCAAAACAGGGTTTGGTTTGCTGTTTTGTTGATTGGCTAGGCTTTAAAAAGTAATGGAGAAAATATTTATCAGACAGATTAAACTTAAAAGTGTGTCACATCTGTAATTGCTACATTGTGAAATAGCACAAAGCTTAAAGACATTTTTTCCCAACATTTGAAACCTATTATTCATTTCAGGAAGGAAGTTGCTCATATCATTGATGAACAACATGGCATTCCAACATACAGCTTTGTACCACTTCTGTCTTACTCATTAGTGTGAACAAAAATATC